GGCAGGCAGGCAGGCAGGCAGGCAGGCAGGCACGCACGCACGCACGCACGCACGCACGCACGCACGCACGCACGCACGCACGCACGCACGCACGCACACACACACACACACTCACACTCACACAGACAGACACACACACACACAGACACACACACACACACACCCGCGCATGCGCGCTCGTGCGCACACACACACACATACGACTTGCTCAGAGACAAATACACAGAGGGAGGTTTTACCGCACACATCCGTGACGATGTTGCCATCTGGGAACCCAGGATTGCCTCATCCAGCCATTGAGCTAGACCACTCAGAACTCCGCGTCTTACCCGGTTTCGCTGAAAGCCTTCAGATGAAGGCGACATCGGGCAGCATCAGTCTGGATAGTTTATCGTTTTTTTGCATGCGCTGCGAGGTGCCTCGCAGACCACCAGCTGACGAACCAGAAGTTGTGCGAAAGAAAACCTGGCACCAGGCTTGGCCGTGGGCAGGGCCATCGAAAAGTCTGCCAGGGTTTGGAGCATGTGCAAGCTGAAGCGAGAATGGGCTGCCGTGACCGCCCCGGCCATAGCCACGTTGCGCAGGCCTGCAAAACACGGAAGCAGAGTCGATGCTTTTCCTCGAGCCGCTGCAGAGACGAGATGAAAGACTTGGTCAAGACCGACTCATTGCAATCTCAATGTTCGTTTCCGGAGAGACTGTGCAATTGCAGACTGGGATGCCACAGAAAATCCTGCGCGCCTTCTGCGCTTAACACTCGAACTCGCAGAATCCCACTGCAGGCATCGCGGACGAAACGAGGGGACAGGAGCACTACCTGCTCCACCACGGAAAGACATCGTTTGGGGAAGAATGCATGAACGGCGAGACTGCCTGCACCCCCTCCAAGCCCGCGCGGGTGCTGTCACCGGCGGACACCCAAACCTGAATGCTGAGGCTTCGCTCGTGGCATTGCCGAAGCACGAGAAAGTGAGTAGTTTCGCGAGAACAGGCGACCCCTTGTGCACGGTCGATCTCCGTGTACGAATCGAAGGAAAATCCGGCCATGACCTCGTGACTAGCAACAAAACGCGCACAAAGACCACTCTTGTCGTTAGTCTATGCCCCGGGCCATGCAGAGGTTCAAGTCTGGGAAGTCGACGGGCGCATCCTATGAGTTGAGGGTGCTTCTGTGTGCTTCTCAAAGAGCTCCAGCAGGACCACCGCTACTTCGCACAAGACCGACCTGCCCTGATCCGTCGGATGTCCATGTGTCAGAGGCGGAGAAGGCGATGACCCGAAAGCCTTCAGACTTTGCGCGCAAAAAAGAAAAGGTAGAAGGACGGACGCAGCGGGCGCTCCTCGCAACGACCTCCTGCGGCTCGGGAGCCCTAGACCCAAACCTCGTGCTGCCGTCAGCGCGGCGGCCTTGGCAAAAGCTGGAGTCGAGTCTTGGTTGCAACGCTTGGCCTCAAGCCGAGGCCCCAGACAGCCAGAATCCCTGGTTTCCCAATTCCTGCCTCGTCACAGAATCTCTGCACTCGCCATAACTCAAGTAACCGCCAAGAAGAGCCGGGCTCAAGGCAAGGCTCGGATGTGCTTGCAACTTTGGCAGCACATGGACCGGACTCACAGAAGCCTCGAATGTGGCCGATTGTTGTCATCGAAATCATTTCAGCTCATGAACAACTCTTGCCAGGCTGCCTGCGAGCGCAGGCCAGGGGTGAGCGCACCATACATAGTCCGCTCAAGCTACAATTATCAGGATTGGGCTGTTCCACATATTGCAAGATCTCCGAACGTCGTCTGCACCGTTTGAGTAGGCTGGGCTCTGGCCCTGTATGTGCTTCGAAGAGATGCCAAATGGCTTGCAGCAGGCATCATCGCAGTGGAACTGGACAAGCAACACTGGTGAAGGTTGACGCGATCTGAGTTGAAACTGAAGCCCCTGCCTGTACTTCAGAGGCAGAGGGAGGAGGAGTGGGAATCGCTTCGGATGGAGGAGGCGTAACTTCCAACCCGAATCGTCTCCGGTCCTGCACTGAGAGGAAACTGCACTGGCTTCTGTTCGATAATGGACGAACCGACCTCTCCTGCTACCTTCGATCAGCTCGACTAGCAAGCAGCGCGACAGAACAGAGACAGGAAAGGATCCAGTAGCAGAGAAAACGTGGATGCTCAAACGGTGAGGATGACTCAGGAAGATGCAACAAGCCAAGCTGATTTTGACACAGGATTGAGAGTACAGGGTGCGGGTCCGAGCGACAACTAAGTGCAATTTCAGCGCCAGCTACGGTCGTCAAGTTGCGAGTCAACACCACACAGGCTGGCTTGATCCCAGCAGCGGCGGCACAACCTGGCTTCTGACCCGCCATCTCATTGCGATGCGTGTGGAAGGGAGGGAAGAGAGTGTCAACTTCGATGCCGCGAAATTGAAACCAGCAGCTGCATGCCATCCTCCAATGACAACGTCGAGGCGTGCACTGGACCACCTCAGATCCGAGGGAAGCCAATTCATGTCACTACGTCTCCATGCCTGAACCTTAACATAGTGGGATAGTTTGAAATCGCACACGCTTGTGTTCGCCTAGCCGTCCTGGCAATGAGGTCATCCTTTAACTCCAGATATGGAAAGACAGAAAGGCAAGAATTCCTCTAGACCCCAAATCCAGAACTCCAGCGAATCTGAGGCTGCGGCCATCAAAGGCCTGTGCTCCTTGTAACCCAGGCCGAAAGCAACTATTCGTGAGCCTTGCAAACCTGCTGAAAAACAAGTGCGGTCCTTCCCCGTCGTCGCCCACATGGCCAGCCTGCACCTAGCGCTAGGTGCGAGGAGAGGGGCCCTGTGCTTCTTGCCAGAGGGCGCCTGCGCCTGCTCCAGGTCTCCTGAGATCCCGGAGATGCAGAGAGTCCACGCTCGCGCTTTTGGAACTGGCCTGGGCCTTGAGCCATGCTCTCGATCCTCACCGAATGCGCGAGCAGGCACCGGACAGCCCCCGACTGCTTGAAGGGCAACGCTGAGGGACGAACGTCTGGACTTGTCGCTGCAAGCGCAGCAGATGTACTGCCTGCCATGAGCCATTCAAAGCTCCGACTTCCTAGCTGCCCTAGCTGGCCCTAGCTGCTTAGCTGGTGTCTGCGCTGGCGTACGTTGTGCTATCAAAGCCACATGAGAAAAAAGAGTTACAAGATGGCACCGAGCACCCTGGAATCGTCTCAAAGCGAAGTTCACGAAGCCGACCTGCTCGCGGGCAATTTCAGCAGCCTGAGTCATCGCGGCGACCTTGGACCCAGTGGCATCATCAGCATCTCACACTGACTGAGCGAGCATCCCTACCTCTTTCCGCTTGAGTTCCAAATACTCGAAGAGATCATCATCCGCCTCGAGGCCTGCAAGGGAGAATGCCAAGAGCCCAAACGATGTGCCAGTGGCTGGGCCTGTGCCTGACTCTTCGGTTCTGGAGGTGGCACCAGCATCGTCTGCCATGGCCGAAATGTCCCGATGTTGCACGGACTGCCTCTCCTTTGTGTTCCCTTATGCTTGACATAGATGGGCTCAGCAAGTGCCGGAAGTTACTCGCGTGAAGGAGGTTGGAATTCTGTCTTGCACTGACGGGCAAGCTGACAGCGTAGCTGAACTTTGGTAGCCACTAAACTCCCAAGACGGTTCTTTACCTCCATGCTCCATGGTCTCGCAACAGCTTGTCGGAAAGCTGCGAGTTGCCGGACTGCTGGCACGTGCACCTTTCGTGGAATGCAGTCCCCAGCCTCCTACACAAACTGCCTCTTCCATGCCTCAACGAGCAAGACTGGCCGAAATAGGAACGAGTTGTGTACAAGCTGCAAGAAATTGCTCAGTTTCGAAGCCGATGCATCAACAGAAGCTAAAAAGGAAACACACGATTGTATCCTTAAGTCCCCATTAGTCTGGATGCTGTCTTTTCCCACATGCTCGCACCAGTCCCATTTCCTGGCATCTCCCTCTCATGTCTGCGAGGCGCGAGGGCGCATCTGAAGCACGAGCTGCCTAAGAGTCTACGACCTGGACAGCTGTAGCCGGCTGCAGCACATGAAAAAGGATGTTTTCATAGCACTTCTGCAGACGTTCAGAAGTTCAGAAGCTTCCCACAGCCAAGACTGCTAGGCCGCTAGTCAGTACAGCTGAATATCTCTGGATAACCCTGCCTACGCCAGTTTTCTCTCCAGCAACATCTGCGGCTCATCCCGTCTATACAGCGGAGCGGCCTTTCAAGCTCCCATAGATTCAATCCTATTCTCTCGAAAGGCAACCTGGCTCATTTTTATATCACCCTGAGCCTGGATAGAGTGTGGGGCGATCGCAGGATCCATTGGGATTTAGGTGCTTTCGGCAATCTTCTTCGCCCTCCTGATATTTGCCAACACACCAGCAAGAATCTGTGACTGGCACCTCACACCCGGAGAATTCCACGCAATAGTTGAACCACGAACTCAGCCCGAGGCAGCAGAACATGAACTGCAGGTTCCCGGAATTGGACTTCGCGGCTTCAGCCAGCTGATTGCCCTGCTGCTGGATCAAAGTCATGTTCGGTCCGGAGAACGACTTCTTAGCGTGCCCGTAGCTGCTCTGCAACAGGGCGCTGCCAGCACTGCCCTGTGCGCTTCCGGGACCTTCGCACTGCTCCGCTCCGCTGACAGAAATGGCTGCAAAAACGAATGCCAGTGAGCGAAGTGCCATGCTGCACTTGAGGCGGTAAGACGAAATTGAAAATCTACGGCTGTGAACAGCAAACTCGGCTTGATCCAAAGAGAGAATCAATGGCCATCCTTGCTCTTGCAATCTCCCTACTTCGCCTTACAATGTTCCTGTGGAAACGGCCAGGCAAATGCAACCTTGTACCGTTTCTTTGCTTCGCAATGATGAAGCCTCAGAGTCTGTCCGATGTTCATCTTCTGGTTGATCGCCATGTTCGGCCCTAGAACCAGAAAGGCTCGAACCCTGTACAGAGATTCTCGGAAAACCACGGACAATGCCATCCCTCACTGTACTTGCTACAAAGCCCACGCGTTGAGACAAATGCACGCGTGTCGAAACCTACGGGTCTTTGCCCTGCTAGCCGCGTTGAGCCCTCACTCAATATCGCTGTACCCATCAACAACCTCGTTCGGAAAGTCCAGTCTTGTACCATCTGCAAAAACGCAGGTGATCGTCCTTGGTCCATCAACAACCACCGAAGGCATGCTGTGATCATAAACAGAGGATCCCACTGGCTGTATCTTGAGGACCCCTAAAAAGGATGTTCCCAAGGGCTCGCGGGCTTCACCAACAGGGTCACTTCGACCGGAAGAGGACGTACATACACTGGCAGGAGCTGTTCAAGCTTCATTAGGTAGTTCTCGCACGAGGTGCCGGAAGATCTTAAGCCTTAAGCTCTGCATGCGAGCAACCTGTCGTTGTAGGCTTTTTCAATGATACACTCCTGACGACCCCATGACGTCACATAGCAAAATAATGAGGCGCGAGAGCATAACTGCAAGTGGGCCTGCCCCCGGCGCGAGGCCTTTTCGGCCGTATAGCCGTTGAGGGACTGAGCCTCACGAACCGCTTCACTTTGATATCCAGCTCCTAGCTCTGAAGCTGGCGCCTGTTTTGGCTTAAGCCAGGGGCGGGGAATCGCCCAAATGCTGCTCGAAAGGCTTTGTCGTTCTGGCGCAGAATGCATACGTGTGGCACTTCAAAGTTGGAGTTACTATCCGAAAGGCCAGGCTCCTCAAGCAATCGCACCCGCTCTCCAGGCAGAATGAAAGCGCCACCTAATGCGGGAAGCAACTGACATGACATGTCACAGGAGCAGCTCTCGGGCAGCCTTTTTGTGAGGACGGCTAAACCAATTTGAGAGATCCATGGCGCTGGCACTGGAGCCTTAAGGCTGGCAGCACCGGCATGAAAGTCCCGCACGTGTCAGCTTCTTATCGAAGCAACACCGCAGCTTCACGTCAAAAACTTCGCTGCTTCAGGCACTTCAAATGCCCTGCTTGGCACAGCTAAGCTGCACCTCTTCAAAGGATCTTGCATGAGGCCACGGCCACCCTTAGCAAGTGAGCCTGGTCTCCTGGGCTATCCTCGGTCTTGAACATGAGTGGCACCAGATTCTGGTGCTTGATTCAGAAAAAATTAGCTGTCCGTGGAAACTTCCAGCCAGCAGCCAGAATCACCTTGAGGATAGGAAAAGGTCAGTCTCGAAGTCTTTATTTCGCCATACCGGCAATTCTGCCGGGTCACGCTCCTTGGGCAACTCGATCTGCCTCTCGCTCCAAGCACTGCCGCACCTCACGTCACGACATGTCACGACTCAGACACATCCCCTCCCCGAAGATGCAACACCGCTCCAGGGACCGGGCATGGCTTTCGAAGCGCTCGGGATTCGCACCCGTCCACTGTTCAATGAGCTCTCCACCGGCTTCGCCACGCCGGAACATGAAGAAGGCAGGGGACACCTCGACACCAGTCCACCCACCAATCCGAGGACAGCAGATGCGAGAGGGATCCCTTTACCGGACACGCCTTCACGCCCAGCTCTTTCGTGGAGAACTCCATTGCGCCAATTGTGCCATTTCCCACGAGCTCAACGAAGCGAATGTCACGGAACCTCGCTGAGCAAAACAACTTGCGAAGTCCTACGCGAGCGTCAACTTGGCCTCCTGAGCTCCGCCCTAGACGCCACAAGATGATCTTGAGCTATAAAGCGTACAAGCGGCTCTTCTGAGTACTTTCGCCACTTGGGTTCAAAGGCACGGCAGCTCCGGCAAAAGGTGAAGGTCACCTCGGAACATGGCGTCGACGGACGCACGGTTCGATCTCTGTTTGGCATCTTCAACCCTTCGTGGCCTTCAGGAGCACCAACTGCCCCAGGTTCAATGGCGGATTGACCTCTGCGTGACCCCGCTGAGATGCTGCAGATCTCTCATGTTCTTGAGAGCTTGGCATTCGTGATGATGCTTTGCCATGCCTTTGCACTGGTAGTAACGACGCACCTGGCCTGCAGCATCGTGCAGCATGCATGCATGCAGAACACAAACTGTCAGAGGAGCGCCTCCATGACGTGTTTCCGCCACCATGCCAAGAATTCGTTGAAGGACACTTCTCCATCGCGGGTGGTGTCGAGCTCCTCTACGAGCCTTAGAACGGCATCATTGGGAGCACGCTGAAGGCACGGCATGTGCCGGCTGCTGGTCAAGGCGCTTCTCCAACTCGCGTTCCAGTCCCAAAAGCGCCAAAGCTCTCTGCAGCTCCTCGAAAGGATCCAAGGCCATTGCGACGCTGCGTTTCGTCCGCTCTTCGCGTGTGCTCTTCGCTTGCGATCCAAGACTCATCAGCCTGAAGCCGTCTGTCTCCGTCCTCAGACACCCCAGAATGCCCCATGCTCTGTTCAGCTTCTGCAACCGGGTTGCCACATCCATTTGATCAAAAATGGCCTTGTGTTGTGGCAGCACAGTGCAGGTCTGCGTGCAGCGGTGCAGAACCTCTGACCTGTCCAGACCTGAGAGTCTAGACACCCCTGAACCGCAAAATCCGTGCATCGTGCTCGCTTCGCCCTGGGGCCTCCAGCTGCACCTCTGACAGGTGCTGCAAAATCTTGGAGTCATTCAGGACGCCATCCAAGGCTCGCCTCGCCTGTTGCGCAGCATCGACTGGCTCTTCACACGACATCAGCCGCAGGAATGCATGGTTGTTTCATGGTTGCCTGGCTGATCTGCAGCTCGAAGATGGCATCCAGGGCCATGCCACGCACAATGTTGACCTCCTGCTCTGCGGCGGCCACGACCATGTCTGCACCCCTGGCAAGGGCATCCAAGCTTGCTTCCCATCACTTAAAACCATTCCGGCGTCCTATCACCGCTCCATTCCGAAAAGTCAACAAGGCACAGGGTGACAGGATCACGAAACGAGCAGCAGAACCACAATAAGTTGCGCACTCTGCAACACTGGTCGCTTGGCACGTTGCCTCTCGGCTGCCAACTCCTTCGTCTTTGCAAGGCGTTCCGGCTTCATCAGCGCCTTCAACAGAAAAGTAAATGTCTCGAAGACCTCTCGACTCATCCACGAGGGCAAACATTACATGCAGCGTGCCTGAGAGATGGCTCGGTCGGTGCTCGCGATCCTCCCTGTTGGCACAAGTACCACTCGGTCCAATCCTAAGCTGATCAGCATGCGCACGGGACACAGGGCTGGCAGGCTGCCCTTGCACCTGTCCTGTGGGAACAGCTCCGGTGATTTCTGCGAGATAGTCGTCCAACAGTGATGCCCACTCGTCAAACGAATCGGATCCTGAATGGATGCGGGTCAGCTTGCATATCTTGGCGTGGTCACCTAATGTTCAGCCACGGCAGCCGATCTCACGAATCAACAAAAATCCTCGCCTGGCGATGGAGGTACGAACTTGTATTCGCCCGCATCCTGGGCCGTAAGGTTCATGTCAGGAGCACGCATTTCTGGACTTCTTCAGTCATCAAGGCATACATTGCGATTCAAGGCGCACTGGGCAAGCTGGCCTGACGATTCCTTAAACCGTTGACACGCTCCCTGCAAGCTCGTCTCTACAATCGGTTTTGCGAGACTGAGGATATCCAGACTTTTTTGGGCCGTTGACCAAAACAAAAGTGGCCGGCCCATTCGGTAGACAAGTCTGAGCAGCCAGAAACTTCCAAAAATTTCGTCCCAAGTGACGAGGTGTAGAGCTCGTTCAGCGGGGAGTTGCGCACCCTGCGGCCGTCATTGAAGAGTACTGCACCGATGTTCCGCCCCAGCGTAATGACCTCCAAAAGGCGTGCAGCGATTGCTTGGACAAGTGAAGTGGCGGTCGAGGCATCCACCAGGATGGTCTTCTTTCCTGAGTGTACGAGGGAAGAGGGCACCCGCTGACAGCATCACGCTTCCACTGCATCCGAGCAGCGCCAAACGTCTGTAGCTCTGCTGTCGCCCCAGACTAGCTCGTTGTATCCTGCGAGAATCTGCAAAGCAACGTTTGTCTCTAAGCTGAGGGAATTCGCTCGGGTCCTGCTCCCACGGTGTGGATTTCCACATGGAAGAAGGCCACCTGTCCTCGTTTGTTCAGACCCCGCCGCAGCAGTTCTTGAACCTTGGCTTTCCGACAGCTGAGGCCTCGCTATGCGGAGACCAACGACCAAGTAAGCACGTCTTGCAACGAAGCCACTTTTGCCCTGCGAGTCTGATAATCTCCATCATTGTCCTGACGACGCTGTCTCTCAAAAGTCTCTGAAAACCCTGACACCTGCGGCCTCGGTCAGGTTTTCCATCAGCGCCTGGCGAAAGTCTAGAGTCTAGACACAGGACGGGAGAATTCAACATCTGAGTTCTGCCCGACCTTGGTGACGGAGCAGCCGATAACCTTGTTCCATCCAAAGTGCTTTCTGAGCTTCTGCAAAGTTCCTGTCAACAGACCGTAGACTTATCGGGAAATCTCCTAGGCGGAACACAAGCGCCTGTGATGGTCTCAATGTTTTTCTTCGTGTCGGGCCCAAGGTCATGCAGAATCCGGAAAGGTTCACCTTTCTAGATGGCCAATAGAACTGGACTGATCTCGACGGACACGGTCAGCCGTGGCACCACTTAGCTCCCCCGTCTGGACATTCACAGGAGCTGCAATGCCCGAAGACTGCCGCAACTCCACTCCTAGAGCTTCCACCTGATGCAGTCCGACCGATCTGACAAAAGAATCAGGCCACACTGCTCTCTTTGCCTCTCTTACTCAAGACAAACTCTTCGGCCAGCCTTCGGAAGCTCGGACACAGAGACCTCACTGCAAAGACCCGGCAGCTCTCACCCTCTGGTTCAGTCGCACAACACGTGGACGATTAATATTCTGGCGAGGCTCCAGGGCACCTGTCCTCGGGGCAGCAGACACGTCAGACACGTCAGTCGAGTAGGGATGTTCGGATGCCCCACGCTGCTCCGCCAGAGACGTAACAGACGTAAATGCACACATTCCAATTAAATGTGTGTGCCACAACATACCAAAGACAGCTTCTAGTCTGGTCGGCTACGCTGAATCCTATGTTGCAACGTCCGATATTGTAGTGCGTGTTGAAGCCGCTATACCATATCATGGTGCAGGATATACACATGTTACACATACATACACACATACGCACATACATACATAGGTACATACATATATACGTACACCATACACATATATATATATGTATGTATATATGCTTTGGACGTATCTATGTATATTCTATTTGTCTATATTCTATTTGTCCTTGCATGGGCTTCAGACAAGGAGCTCTTTGGGTGCCGCAGCCTTCACAGGTGGCGGGGTGGATCTAACACCAAGCCTTGCCCTGACTGCACACGTGTTACAAAGGACCCTGAGCTAGCCAGTGTCCCTTCCCTTTGCTTCCTGCTGCTACCGGTACTCATACTGCTGCTGCTACTGCTGCCGCTTTCGACGCAACGTATCGCAGGCTGGCACCGGATCACAGAGAAACATGAAATCGGAACATGAGTCCGGCTGCGGAAACCAACTCAGCACATGGATGCTCGAACAAACTCGGGCTCGACGCCCACTGTTTAAGTGCCTGTTTCCTTGGGTCACGATGTTTGTACAATATTCCACAGATGGAGGTTGAAGTCAGAGGAATAACCCTGCTTAGCAAGCCCAGAAGATCCCGCCGTACCTTGACCGCCAAAAGGCTTCTTCGCTTTCGTGGCATGTGCCCCGCAGCCATGGCTGCAGATGAGCAGAGAAGTGCCTGCAGCAGAAATTGTATCGGAATTGGTGTAAACAAGGATTCTGACAGCAATCCCCTCACAGCTGCAAACGAGGAGCAGCTTTCAAAGTCCCCCTTGTCTGAGTCTGTGCCTGCCGGAAGTGGCAGTGGCGGAAGCAGAGGTCGTAGGAGTAGGCAGGCCCGCAGCAGCAGCAGCGAGTTCAGTAATAGCACTAGCAGCAGCAGTAGCACCAAAAGAGTTTGAGTATGTTGTAGTAGTCGTCGTCGTTGTCGCAGCAGTAGTTGTAGTAGTAGTAGTAGTAGTCGTCGTCGTCGTTAGTAGTAGTAGTAGTAGTAGTAGCAGCAGCAGCAGCAGTAGTAGTATAGTAGTGGTGGTAGTGGCAGTAGTAGTAGTAGTAGCAGCAGCAGCAGCAGTAGTAGTAGTAGAAGAAGTAAAACTAGAAGCAGCAGCAGCAGCAGGAGTAGTAGTAGTAGTAGTAGTAGTAGCAGCAGCAGCAGCAGTAGTAGTAGTAGTGCTAGTAGTAGTAGTAGTAGTAGTAGTAGTCGTAGTGGTTGTAGTCGTAGTACTCGAAGTAGTCGTAGTAGTAGTACGTAGTAGTACGTAGTAGTACGTAGTAGTACGTAGTAGTACG